TGTCAGTACAACAACAGAGGAACAGAAGGAGGCGGGTAAAAGCACAGGAAAACGTAATTTAATTTTAAGTCTAGTATTGTCCGGATTGTAAAATCAAAGAGAGACGGGTGGGACTCATATGGGGGAGATAAATAAATGCAGAATTTGGACAAGATAAAAAATTAATGATAATAGCTACTTGGAAGGCCAAGGTCATGAAAAAAGAAATATGGGCATCGAAACTGACTCATCTTGTACAATGGAAGTTGGATGAAGAGGGAAGGGAAGAAACTACACAACAAATAAATTAAATTAAATATTTCAATGGAAAGTCACATTACACGTCTAAATATTCTAGGACAAAAACATCTGATCTCAAATGGTATAATTAAGCTAACATAAACAGCCACAATAACCACATCATTTACCTCAATGTATGGAAAGTCCAACAGCACTTTTCCCACAGAAAGAGTCAATTTCATATTCCTCACTTACAACATATGAGTTATTACCAATACATTATTTAAGGTCATACCAATTCAGTTTCTGATATATTGCACAACTATTAAAATTTTAAGTTCATCTCCTGATCAGGCACGAGTTGCCAAATCACACTTTCATATACTGAATGGCATGAATCATCATTTTTTTTTTGTAAGCAAGCATATGCCCTAATGTGGAAGTTGTATAACAACCATGTATTAATCCTTTGTTCCATAATCTAATCCAACTTATTAAACAAATAATTTTTTACTGCATTTGGTATGACAGCAATCTGAATTGTTTATGTCTTATTACATAAGGTATGATATTGGATGAAAATGTTCTAATCATGCCTATACTGTGTTCAGGTGTCTTGGAAATACGATTCATTACAATTAAACACAAAACATGTAATGTAAGATACTAACATAATCACTTCAGAAGTTCAAGTTTGCACAACAAAACTTCAATTATACTCTTTTAAAATGAAGAATCATCAATATTCATAACTCCTAAAGTTTAATCTATCACTTTCAGTGCAATCATAAAGTTAATTGTCAATTTTTATAAATGTACACAATTTTCAACATATGCTGTTAACTTCACAACACACTACAAATTAAGAGCATCACCGTCAACTTTCCTTTAAATTTGGATCCTCTAGTTACATGTGCCACTCTGCAGCCAGCAGGGCCAACTAACTTAACCAAGCCCTGTCACTGATACGGTGGAATCTACTGGAAAAAACAATTCTCGTCATCCAGCCAGTAGCCAGTCACTTCAGTGACAGATGACCAAACTAATATCTTTCCAGGTTTGGGCATACCTGATAGGAGGTATGTGCACAGCAGCAAAACCAACTACACTATCATTCCAACTTTCTTTTATTTTTTATGCTACAAATAATGCAAATGGCAAGATAATGAATTAATTTAACCAATCCTCTATAATAGTATGTGGGACCAGGCAATGAATGTAATGCAACAGCATACAAGGACACCCTTAACAGTACTGTAGATGCATCAGCCCAGAATGAAAACGAGCGACTTCTGTATCACAAATTCAAACCTTGCCTTGTGTGTGCCTTCAAACTGAACATCTGAATAATATTTTAATTCTGAACTTCTTGCTTCATTTTAAACAACAAACTAAGAAAATTTAGTCTCTCCATGAGATACAAGTTTGAAACACTTCAAACATTAGAAAGTTTATCAGTAATTAAGCACACATATTTCAATGGCCACTTGCTCAGGACTGGATCAAAATATTAGCACAAAAATATGTAAAAAAAATATTTTAATGGTTTCAGCACATTCTGACTGAAACATTTTCTGACCCAACAAATAAATATTAAAGGGCATGTTCATAAAGGTAAGTAAAATGGTAGCCTCAAATGAGCAATCTCATACAAAAATTATTTTACATTTGAACTCCATTAATAATAACTAATATTCTACTCAATTTCTCTTGACCATGCCTTAAGGCAGTAAGCATAAGGAACAAATTCTGCCCACTAACAAAAACATTTAATAGCCTTGTGCCCCATACATACACCTACACTAGACTTATTATAAAAGACAACAAACTGTTTGTCACAAAACAAATTAAAATCACTAGCAACAGAACATTTTAAAATTACTGTACCAACAACTGCGGAAGTAGTATTTTTCCCCAAGAATGAGAAAGGCCATATCAATAAACAATTAAACATAATACTAGAAAGTTATACTGTTTACTGTCTTCCATAAGCATAACAACAAAAACAGCAATGTAAAATAACCAATACTCCAGTAGCAACTTAAACTGTGAAGGTAAAATTGATCAATTATGCAACCCTTTAGGGATCTTGACCCACCCTAGCTCCTCGTCGGCTTCAATATCTCGGTTTGCAAAGAAGGCAATGCGTGGAAAGTGGAGATCCTGATGTTCAATGAATACTCGCACTGGCAGCAGGTTTGGTACACACATGTGATTAATGAAGCGTGCCACATTGCCATAGTGCCTTGCATCAATGCAGTATGTTTCACCATCCTAAACACAGAACAAACCTAAATTATACCAATATACACCTGCATACAAATTCTCTCCTTCACAATAATAAACGCTGAAAGGTGTCCTCAAATTACACATACTTCGTCATGCCAGAGATCACCAGGACCAAGGTTCCTGCTCAGTTTGTTAATTTTTTGTTATTTTTTGCCAATAAACTGGAGCAAAAACTACTGAACAATGATGATATTTAAAATATTTTCATCAAATGATTCAAGCCTGCATGAAAAAATTCCATCAGAGAACAACTGTGTGCAAAATGAGTGTCAGGATCACACCTGTTCATATTCGTGTTTGCATCTAAGAAATCCTGGACTTGAATCTAGGTCCACAGACCAGTTACCTGAATTGAGGTTTTTCTCAGTCTCACCAGGCAAATTCCGAGACTGAATGCACAGACAGAACAGACAGACCAAAATAACTTCATCCACATTCTTTCGAATTCAACATCTGCAAATAGCCTACTGTTATCTGATTAAAAAAACCCTACGCAACAGCAACACATACTCCCAAAACCAGCAACACAAACATATAAATGTACCAATTTCAACATCAATGGTGGTCTATAAGCAAGGTGCTGACCTCTGGGCCACAATCTTATTCCAAAAGTTAGGATCCAGTACAGACTTTCATCCACTTATCAACCACAACCCTCAACTATAACATCAGAACTTCATAAATACAGTGAATATACTGGTTCACACCACAGCTTGAAATCTATATGTCCCTGTTATATTATCACTTAATGATAAATTTAAAAAAATAACTTCCAGAAAAATATGTTATTTGCTGAGGAAAAGTGTATCATTTTTTTAAACAGTTACTCACTCTGTTATCTAGATCAAAGAGATATGAATCGTCTTCCCTATGATCAGCTTCACAGTCTGAGATGATTTCACCAATATACCTGAAATCAACATAAAAACATCCAAATTTTCAAACTCTGCCCTAAACTGACTGAAAAGAAAAGTAAATGACAACCTTGACAGTCTTTATAATTCAAAAGAATAAGAAGCTTAAAAATTCTATTAAGAAGATTCTAAACATTAACATTCATTTTGATCTGTACACAGAAACAGTTTTGTTAAAACTTTGTTTTTCACGCAAAGCAGTAGTCCAAATCATCCTACAGGAACAAAAAATTAATTACACTGATGCATTCTCATTAAAGCTAATGTGATTAACTTTATGAAACTTGTTCAGCTGCATCAAATTTTATGTGCACAGTCACCCTCATAAGAAAATCTTCTTAATTCCCCAAAACTGAGAAAATAATACAGTGAAACCTCTATCCATCGTTCCCGGAACTATCGTTTTCCCGGATGCATCGTCCGTTTTGTTCGGTCCCGAATACATCCCATATAAAATAATGTTACATTTTCCCGCTTCTATCGTTCCTCGAACTATCGTTTTATCGCATCGATCGTTCAAAAATCGTAGTCCCGGCCCACAATTTTCCCGCAATGATCGTTTCTGAGAATTTAAAATGCTGGGGTTTGAGATAAATTAATACCGAAAGACGCACAATGTTTTTGGAATACACAGTAGTGGTAACCTGTTATGTCGCCCAACCAGCACATTCTTTTGGAATGAGGGTCAGCGGTGCAGGGGTGATAGTTGGAGTGAATGGCGGTGCCCATTGTCAGAAATTTTACGATTTTAATTTGGGTGCACTCATATTTCGTTCCAGCGATGCCAGATGGCATGTGCAGTGTGAATTTCTTCACAAATGCTTTTATTATAAGTACAAAGGAAAGGCTGGCGGCACTTTTCATTCTTCTGGTTCATCTCGTTTCCAGCGGGTCAGGGTCTTCTACAGCTACGTTTCGTTGAGTTCGGCAGTAATAGTATTTCCATTCTTCCTGTTATTGTCCGCAAAGGGGGTTGGAGTGGTGAGGAAGAGGGAGACGACGAATGCGAGCCCGAAGCTTTGCCGAGTTTTGCCGAAGCGCACGCTGCATTGGCGAAAGTGAAGTCGTTCTTTTATGCGCTTAATATTAGTGAACGTGACGAGGAAAACCTTTTGAACGTGGAAAGTGCTCTGTTTGGTCTAAAACGTAAAGTTTCGACAAACCAGTTGTCCATTAAAGACTTTTTTGGTAAAAAGAAGTAACTTTGAAAGAGAAACATTGTTTTTTAAAAATTTTTAATGCTTTCCCGCATCTATCGTTTTCCCGCATTCATCGTTTACATGCCATGTAGGTGCTTGGGGGGGGGAAAGGCATAGCTCCTACTCACTATTAACCTTGGCACTAGATAGGGGTAAGGTCAGCATCACATCCAGCTGCGCTTTACCCCCAGGAAAGGACCCTGGCACCCATTAGATAGGAGGCTGGGCAAGCCGTAAAATGTTCAAAAACCTTTTAATGCCAATTTCTGGAAAGGCAACATTATTGTCAAAATTCACAATGAACCAAATGCATACAAAACAGTTAACATTTACAGTCCACACACAAATTCTTATGTATATATGCCTGTATTTTTGGGTGTTCATTAACAGAATCACAAATGTGAGACCTACCCAAACAGAAACAACTGCTTCAATGACATTTTATTAATGGTGTTACATAAGAAATGCATTTATGTAACATTGATGTTGAATACAAAGGAAGAAAACATAAATGGTAAGTTACTTGCGCATACAAACCGTGAATTTAATTCCTCTTCAAATCAAATTATCTGAAGGGACAAGCCGCAATGATACAACCCCATGGAAACAATAAACTCCTACTAAAAGCTTTCATGACATCATGTACTTGGATTTATAATGGCATTTTCTAAACACAAGTCAGCTGACTCATCTGATTCTGGCATGTTTTATCACATTTCTAGATAAACCTTTCATCCCTTTCTAAATCCAGTTACAAAAAATAATAATAATTATTTCCTTAATACGCACAGTCTTTATATAATAATATATTAAGAATAAATAAAAGTGATACTTACTCGCAGACATACGTGCCCTTACTGATGGGGCGAAGAGTTCGTACACCCCAGCCTTTAACTTTGGTGCGGAATAGTTGAAACCGCGCTGTCAACCCATGTTGTACCACTCGGTTATTACAAGTTACTCGATTACATGAACAACCTTGGTTACACTCAAACAGCATTGGTGGATCTATAATTGTAATTAAGTAACAACAGCACTGACTAGGGAGAGCAAAGTGGAATAGTTCAGTCAATAAAATAACTATTAGTTGGGCAATTGATCATACACGAAAACATTTTCCAGTGTCTATGAAGCTATTTCTGTACCTTCTGCCCACACACAATATCATAAAAAGACAGGGATTCTATGCCATCCTATAACTGCACAATAAAATGATGACCATGGGCAACAGATGGCAGAATTGTGCCTGCTGAGGACCAACATAATTACAAGCGTGTGGGTTAACGAACTGAAATTATTAGAAAATCTAAATTAACTTTAATAAAAGTCTGAAACATGCTCTGCTGTTATTACAAATGGTAAAAAGTTTTTATTATCTACAATAATCAAAAGATGTAATTATAAAAATACTGTAAATCAATGTAAACAAGTTGTAATTACAAGTATTTTGGTTCAGAACTGTATTAACCCTTCCTGCCAGGAGCCTGTGTATGTTCTTGCAGCACTCAAAACAATCTCACTGGCAATATCTAAAAAAGTCACTTGAAAATTTCATGTAAAAATACTCCTACAGGGTCTTTAAAAACTGCCACAGTGTGTATTTAGTGGGGGTTTAAATACTGGTTTAAAGGGCCATACAGTGACAGAAAAAATGTGACAACCTTAAAAGTGGAAGAAATTACCTTTCCATTTCTTCCAAATTTTGAGAACAGGAAAGCATCACCTATATATAAGCAAAAATACTGTACACTTATAGCAAGATGTTAAGGATACACTATTAAATATATTGCAGTCTAAGAATTGCATATCTTATATAAAATATAAATAATACTTACCAGCATAGTTGAAGTCAGGCAGAAGCCGTCCTTGGTCATCATACCAACACTGCAGACTGATGTTCCCACAGTGGCAGTTCACAGTGGAACACATGTCTAAGCATTTACAGGACTGAAGAGAGGTGATGGTACGGTCCACACTGATGTTGGATGTAAAACAATTCTCACTCACATACACAAAGTCAGTAGGTTCACCCTCATCATCCTCCACATTCACACATTGGATTGGATTTTGTTCCTGCCCACGTGAAATGTCACTACAAACAAATAACACATCTTAGGGTTTTCAGCTTTTGTCATTTTATTTTCAGAAGACAACCATCTTCACATCCATCACTGTGAGAACCTGAACTCATGTTCCCACATAAAATCCATTTAACTGAGAACCTATATAAAATCATATCACAAACAATAAAATGCACTTACTTTGTTAGAATTCGCTCAGTCTGCTCTCTTGGATTTGCAACAATAGCCTTAAGTTGGATATTAAGGTTAATTGCTATGTAACAATCATTATTTACAGCCAAGCAGCATTCAAGAGGACCGTCTCCCGCTTTATTAATAACATCCACTCTTGCTCCTCGTGCCAGAAGTAATAGGACACAATTGTACATGTTCTGCCGAGCTCCAATGTGACTAGAGTAAAAGGAAACCAATGCAATTTAAGAATAAAAATGTGAACTACTAACAGAAAAAAGAAATAAAATGTATATAATGGATCCTCCTATAACATAAACTGAATTACATTAAATATTTTCAAAAACCACAACAAAATTCAAAATTATTCAGTGATATACTGATTTAAGGATCAACAAATTTGTACGTAACACTGAGAATTTTGAATAAAGGCATTAAAGCCAGCAAATATGATTGGGAACACAGAAATTTAACATTAAGATAAGACCTTAAGTAAAGGCAAAGGTAAAAGTAAAGTAAATGGAGACCCCATCTACTGTAAACAAGTTTTAATGTACATTATAGGTAGCAGAGACAAAGCCCCTAAGAGGTCACTGGATACAGATTAATGTTGATATCTACCTACAAGTCTGCATGGAATTACAACCCAGAACAACACTGTCAAAATGTACAAATTCAGCAGCTGGTCACTTTCACCATTTCATGTCCTTAGCAAATGTGATACAAAAGCACTGCCCCAAGAATTAACCACTAACAGTTAAAGTTGATAATAACAGTGATTCAGAATTTAGGATTTTGTGTGATATAGAAAGAATTATAAGACAGGCCATTGCTACTTACAGTGGTGTGTCACCATGAACATTGGTGCTGTTGACTTCAGAGCCATAGTTGAGCAACATATCAGAAATATCCACACTACCTGAGAAGGCTGACCAATGCAGTGCTATGTTTTGTTCTGCATCTCGAATTAGAGGATCAGCACGGTTCTGTAATAAATACCTACAAAACAAAAAACTTTTTAGCTCAGCAATAACCTTAAAGTTAACTGAAATATGGCACAAAGTCTGAAGAGCATCTAATGTTTCCATGCACTTACAGACATAAAAAATTACAATCTTGTCAAACATTAATTTAATTAAAGTGTGTACCACTCTTTTTGAAAAACTACCTTATTCAGTTTGTATACATTTTTGAGAATATGGACTACATTACATGAAACCCAAACAACAGACTATGGAAAAAGTTCATGTGCTATATTTAAAGATTTTAATAAAATTTAATGTTCAAGCCTCCAATTGGAATTGAAAATCAGTCAATAACTGGTGCCTCTTCATTTGAAGTCAAAAATCAATTTCTGAGAATACCTTACAATTCAGGCATGTACATGATGTTTGTCATTCAAAGGATGTTGGAAATTATTGATAAAATTTCTCTTGTCCTTGTCATGTGCCTGCTCTGTTAAGCCACCTAATATACAGAAACGGTTGAAAAACAAACCTTCAACATCTGAACATGTCTACAAAAAATATGTCACTGTGATTTAAAAAATACAAATGCAGCAAAGCCAATATTTATTCTTTGTTAAAACAGTTATATTAAAATAACAAAGAAAAATCAATATTCTTGATATCTTTAGCATTATCTAAACGGAGATGTTAGAAAGTTTCTCACATTTACAAAACCTATTGTACCTGCAGCCAACCAGAGACACTTTCCTCTAAAAAACACTATAATGGAAATTAAACAAGGACTATTACAGATGATCTGCATATAATACAGATGGGAGAAATAAATACCAGCAGAATTTAAGCCAGGGGACTTTATAGAAAACCAACACAGAGACTGGAGATGCAAAATGGACCTTAGAGAAATCAGTGCAATTAAAATGGCAATTAAAATAGCAACCAATGACAGATTCTGTGTTAGCAGTGCCAAACTCCAGTATTCAGAGAAACAGAAATGTTTGGTTCTCTAATCCAAAACTGACTGTGCAATGACTGATATGTTGCATAACATAAAAGAAATAATGAAAGAACACAAATCACATTTAATTTGTGTTATGTGACAAGCTACCCAATGATGCAATATGTAATTTTCAATACCAAGTACATACCTTTTGTAATAAAATGAGAGCTTACCTCGTAACATCAACATGACAGTGCTCGGCCGCCCATACAAGTGGAGTCCAGCCTCCATCATCAACAATATCAATAAATGACCTAGGTGTATTGGCTACAGCAAGAAGAAACTGACAAGTCTCAATGTTGCCAGCCTTAGCAGCAAGGTGAAGTGCTGTCATTCCATCACCACCCTAAGGAAGTTAAGTTTGTCCAGCAACACAAAAACTACATTTAAATGGCAACATTCTACTAGAACAAAACAACTAGTTTCTATAATCTCTTTATACCGCATATAATAAGAAGCCTACATTGTGTGTTCATCACATCTCTCAACCCATTTTTAACTCTTACACTGCCATATTTTTCAAGTAATTATATGTCCTAGAAGACAGAAGTTTATTTTTAAATATTAACATTAAACATCAGATTTTACCTTTGATTAGATTTTTTTAAATTACCCAGTCTCAATGTATATTTAATGTTTCTCAGTTTAAGACTTCCCTTTACTTAATTTTCATCCACTGTCCCACTATTTCAGTGTTAATTTTCTTCTCTTTCAAAGGTTTCTCTCACACTAGCACTCAAATTACTGTTACCTCAAACAAAACTTAAATAGTATGTCACTGTACTGAATCTGGCACAATTAAAGAATTCAAAAAGTACAATATGAATGCATTTGGGCTCCTCAGAAGAACAAAAATGTAATGCTGTGTCACAACAATTACGCAATAACTGCAAGTTGCATTCTCACCTTAAGAATTACATTTGCGCCCGCTTTTACTAAATATTTCACGAGATCATTGTGGTTTGACACTGCTGCCAGCATAAGTGGAGTATTCTGATCACGATCCAAAACATCCAAATGTGCACCAGCTTGCAGAAGGATGTGAACGACAGACAGATGTCCACCTGAGCACGCTGCATGAAGTGCCGTACCCATTGAACATTCTCGAAACAAATGATTTGGGTTAAGCCCACTTCCTGCAAAAAACAGGGTGATGGGTGATCACTCAAAATTCCAGATTCTCTATGCATTTCTATCAACACAATCAACAATGATATGGCCAAGTAATCAACAAAAATAAATTTAGTAAGTGTACACTAATTTCATACCAGCAGAAAACTTACAAACAAAAATCAGAACTTAGTTTTATACGGTCAATTGATTTTACTTCATTATATTTCCTCAAGTTACAAAGCTTCACATTCCTAAATATAATTTCTGTACTTATTTTTCTTCAAGCAAAATAATGAACAGAAACCTGCCAACCAAAGACACTAAAGATAATTCTAACTTATCAATTACACAATACTCACCCAATATGTGAATCAATTTTTCTGCATTTCCAGATTTTGCAGCTTGATACAAACTTTTCATTGAATACCTAAACACAAGAAACAAAAGGTGTTCATAAGTGCTTTAATCTTAGGCATTCAGACAGAACACAGACTCGCCACAGCCATATCAATATAATCTTTTTGTACTGCAAATGTCCAAATAGTAGGTTTCACTTGGGATAAGCATTATCTCTAAAATTCATGGGATCAATGTATGGTAGAAACCCTACATAACCATTTCTCTGTGGAACTATGCATTTGAACATCACAATGAGTAAACCCAAAAAATGGAGGACTTACAAAAAGAATCATAGTACATTACATGAGAACAATGTTGTACTACAACATTTAAAAAATAAAATAAATAGAGGCAGCTTTCTAGTGGCAGATATAACATTTAGTCACAAACTTCAGAGATAATAATAATAATCAATATTTTCTCATCACCTACTTTCAAAATTTTTACAAAATATTTAAGTAGAATTCACAGAAAGAAAGCAAGCTTTTACCATAAAAGCAAACACTGGACCAGCCCAACTAAAATACAGAAACAAAAAGCATTAAAATTCCATGAAACTGAACTCATTAAAATAATCATCAATTGGTCCAATTAAACAGGAACTTCCCCCCCCCCCCCACAAACTAATAACAGAAACATATACATTTTCTCAACTTTATGTTTGAAAAAAATTATGACTAGGGTTCGGATGTTCATGACATGTCATATTTTTGTTGAGGCTTCTATTTTCATTCTAAACTGAAATTAAACACTAACTGGGTTATCCTTATCACAATTATGTTGTTTTTATTTTGCATATAAATGCATATTTAGGTCATTTTTATGTGTTTGGTCATATTTGTAGTTAAATGCATATTTTGGTTATATTTTGAGGATAAAATTCATATTTTGGGTATAAAATTCTACTTGTAACTACATTTCTCAGACACTTACAGTGAATCCCTATGTGAAATGATGGTGTCTGCCAACTGAACAAAGTGAACAATGAGCAGTTCAATTTTTCTTAATGAAATACATGACTCAGTTAATTCCAGACGAATCAACACTAAGTAAAAACTGTGTACCTGCCGATTGTGAAGATGTTCTGAAAATAATTACATGTACTGTGGGCGACAATAAGATTTGGGTTTCTGTTGATGAAACAACGGATGTCTGCAGCAGACATGTAGCAAATGTCGTTATTGGCACTCTCTTTGCTAATCTCCCTGGTGACTTATTCCTTCTTGATACGATAAACCACTCCTTTATCGTTGTACTTTTCGATAATGCCATGAAACGTTTGTTATGTCTCAAGTTACAAGACCATATTGTGCGACATGTAAGATTTTCATTTGAGACCTTGAAAATGCAAATCGTTATATATTGTAATGCTGCAAAGAAAGGAGAATGAAGAAAGGTACTTAATATTTTGAATTTTGTTAATTTATTTGTAATTAATGAATTTGAAATGCATGAAAGGCTCTTTCTTAAAATTTATCCTATTTTTATAGGAGCACGTATACTCAACATCTGATGCTGATCCAAAACGAGGCATTTACAACTTAAAGCGACTGAAGTTTTTGATTAAAATTGCTAGGAAATCAAGTAATGTAATAGTTGTACATGCATATGTAAATAAATAACATGATAGAAATACAAAACGCTCTTTATAAATTTTAGCGAATATTTTTTCATAACAAATTAGGTCATATTTTGTCTTTTATGGGTCATATTTCGCTATTTTTGAGGGCATATTTGCATGCATATTTCTAAGTTTTTTAGGTCATGAACATCCAAACCCTACATGATCTTATGGACAATGTCCAAAATAATTTATCATGTTTATGACAATTCAGTCCAGCTCATATCCTCACAACCAATTACTCCAATTTTATTAAAATATTAACCTTCTATCTCCTTAGTATTTAAAGTAACCTCTTAAGGTGAGTTCTCACAAAAATGTGCCAAGTACTTTTTGTTTCCTCCAACAAATCTACATGCTGTCAAGCTACCTGGATTCTAAGCCATGTTAATCTGTACTAGCAACTGATGAAAATGAATTCAGTATCATCTTTAAACCTTCTCAAACAGGGGTTCTCAACCTTTTCCACATCTAGGTCCACATTCACCCTTGTTCAACAATATGCAGGAAGCAAGATTATAAATGAAATCAATTTGCTGAAATTTTATGGTAATTTACTAAAATTGGTACAAACTTACTATTACAACCAGGTTCACATATTACTCAGTACCTTTCCTTACCAGAATCAGGCATTATCAAAATGCTACTGTTAATGATTGAGCAATCTTTAGATTTCAGGTTTAATTTCCATTTTGTTGCGATTCACAAGCATCTGTCCAAGTGTTCAACATTTAGACATGTCCTCGTTTGATGTTCTTGATTAGCTGCAAGTTGCTCACAGTGATAGGTACTGCCAAATACTAATCATATTAACAAAACGTATAAAATTATCTTTCAAGACACCTTAGCCTATTAGTGCAGCATGATCTATGCTTTTTCCAAACTTGTGTACCACAACTGCTCTATCCTACATTGTGTAACAACTGACGATATGCAACTATTCAAAATAAGCTTCACACGGAAAGCAAGCAAATAAATGCCAACACCACATGTCAATTATATTCAGGTTTCACTGCATACATTACATCACAAATATCACATAACAACAGAAGTGATGGAATGTTGAATAACAAGCATCAAATGAAAACAAAGACATAAAATGTACTGAATGTGAAGCAATGGGACACCACTATTAATACAGGTCACAGCAGCCATATCAGACAAATGTCACAGCTAAATGCTAAGCACTCTGTTTTGTATTTGGGAGGTTCCGGGTTCAATGCTATACAGCCTGAGCTACTGACATAATTTAATAAACCACAAATAATTAAATAATTATAAACACATCAGCAACCATATTTTTAGATAGAACTGCACTGTACTGATCCTCTCAAAACTACTTAGCAAACTGCCAACAAAGAAACAGAAAAATAAATAAATTGAATGCCAATAATCTGTATAAAAGTTCTGTATTGAAGCTTTGGTACTGTCATTTCCCCCTTTTTTAAACGTACATTAAAAATTCTGACACTTTTACAAAGTTTTCTTTGTAAGTAATTAAGTTAATCAAGGAACGTTGATTAAAATTATAAATTAATATAACAGCATGTGCTCTCTATCCCAAGAATTCCTCACCTCCTTGAAAATGGCTGCATCACGGAGTGCTACTAGCGCAAGCAAAACATAAAAGGACAGACCTGGAAGCAGGGGTAGTGGGTTTGCACATGCTGCAAGCAACACTCAACAACTCGGCTAACTTGTCCTTGTCCAATCCTGTAGAAGGAAACTGTGAAGTCAGCATTGCTGGTGGCACTAGTGGAGGTGTTGGTTCTTTCAGAATCATCTCTTCAGTCTTTGCTCCTGCCCTGCTGGTGCTGAAAGTCATCTTTGCAGATGGCCTACAAAATCCAAGAGCAAAGACAATGAATCTTTAAACCGCCAACCAAAAAATGTGCACGGTTACCAATACTTCAGAATGACTCAGATACAGGCTGGACAAGTGGGATTAATACTCAGTACAGGCAGGAATTCTTCTTTTAAAGCATGGTGCTCTGGTGCTCCACAAACTTTTTCACCTGTGGCATGCCCCTAACTGTCCATGATACAAGATTCTGCCTCATAAAAAGGGGGCATGAAAACTATAGATGGCCAAAAATATGTACCTACATATAAATCCTTGTCCTTTAAGAATGCAGACACATTAAACCAAATCAAAACACATGTTGAATAAAACTATTAATGATGAACCTGAGTGTGTGTGTGTTATGAATTTCTTACTACGAAACATAAGCGATTCCTTTTTCCAAACTATAACATTCAAATACATAATTTCTTATAAAAATGCACAGCACACCTGTAACCTTGTGGTACGCTGGTTGCAGAACACTGCTCTGAGTTTAAACGAAAATTCTTGACAAGTCAGATATTCAAGTTTCAACCACAAAGATCATTGAATAATCCTGTATAAACAAACAGACTGGATCCAACATAAAATAATAAAAAGAAAAAAAATATCTTTGTAAAGTGTCAAATCAAAAAACTTAAAGCAACAAACATGCCCTGCAGGTGCGTCCTCTTCGAAAATGGCTTCTAAACTTGTCTGAAATCAGTAGAGGCATGAATAGGTCATTCCAGAACACCAATGCAGATACCAACCAAAAAAAGAGTATAAAGTTAGTAAGTAGTTTCATAGATTAAACTTGCACGCAGACAGCTCTGTTCTCCCCTACACAGACTTTATGCAAAAATCATTCATAAAGTAGACACAATATATCATCAGTGAAGTTACTTACACTTTCTTAGGTGGCTTCTGCTGTGGCAAGAACACAGGGTTCTTGCCTGACCTCATAGTGAGCATCACATCTGTATTAGGAGAATTAAGACCACAGTGAGGACAAGCAGATGCTGAGTCAACTGTCAGCTGGCAGTCACGGTGATACCAGTGAGCTGATGCACACTGTACAAACTTCCCCTATAACATCAAGAAGCAACCATTCCTCTTGGCCAAACATAGTACCACTTCTCTGTTTACAAACAATTCATAAATTGACAGAAATATTCCATTAAGACCCACTTTTCAGTTTCACTGAATCACTGCTAAAATAAAAAAGAGGAAAACCAAACCTCAGCAAAAATTTCTACCAATAAAGTTATTACAGAAACATATACATTTTCTCAACTTTATGTTTGAAAAAAATTATGACTAGGGTTCGGATGTTCATGACATGTCATATTTTTGTTGAGGCTTCTATTTTCATTCTAAACTGAAATTAAACACTAACTGGGTTATCCTTATCACAATTATGTTGTTTTTATTTTGCATATAAATGCATATTTAGGTCATTTTTATGTGTTTGGTCATATTTGTAGTTAAATGCATATTTTGGTTATATTTTGAGGATAAAATTCATATTTTGGGTATAAAATTCTACTTGTAACTACATTTCTCAGACACTTACAGTGAATCCCTATGTGAAATGATGGTGTCTGCCAACTGAACAAAGTGAACAATGAGCAGTTCAATTTTTCTTAATGAAATACATGACTCAGTTAATTCCAGACGAATCAACACTAAGTAAAAACTGTGTACCTGCCGATTGTGAAGATGTTCTGAAAATAATTACATGTACTGTGGGCGACAATAAGATTTGGGTTTCTGTTGATGAAACAACGGATGTCTGCAGCAGACATGTAGCAAATGTCGTTATTGGCACTCTCTTTGCTAATCTCCCTGGTGACTTATTCCTTCTTGATACGATAAACCACTCCTTTATCGTTGTACTTTTCGATAATGCCATGAAACGTTTGTTATGTCTCAAGTTACAAGACCATATTGTGCGACATGTAAGATTTTCATTTGAGACCTTGAAAATGCAAATCGTTATATATTGTAATGCTGCAAAGAAAGGAGAATGAAGAAAGGTACTTAATATTTTGAATTTTGTTAATTTATTTGTAATTAATGAATTTGAAATGCATGAAAGGCTCTTTCTTAAAATTTATCCTATTTTTATAGGAGCACGTATACTCAACATCTGATGCTGATCCAAAACGAGGCATTTACAACTTAAAGCGACTGAAGTTTTTGATTAAAATTGCTAGGAAATCAAGTAATGTAATAGTTGTACATGCATATGTAAATAAATAACATGATAGAAATACAAAACGCTCTTTATAAATTTTAGCGAATATTTTTTCATAACAAATTAGGTCATATTTTGTCTTTTATGGGTCATATTTCGCTATTTTTGAGGGCATATTTGCATGCATATTTCTAAGTTTTTTAGGTCATGAACATCCAAACCCTACATGATCTTATGGACAATGTCCAAAATAATTTATCATGTTTATGACAATTCAGTCCAGCTCATATCCTCACAACCAATTACTCCAATTTTATTAAAATATTAACCTTCTATCTCCTTAGTATTTAAAGTAACCTCTTAAGGTGAGTTCTCACAAAAATGTGCCAAGTACTTTTTGTTTCCTCCAACAAATCTACATGCTGTCAAGCTACCTGGATTCTAAGCCATGTTAATCTGTACTAGCAACTGATGAAAATGAATTCAGTATCATCTTTAAACCTTCTCAAACAGGGGTTCTCAACCTTTTCCACATCTAGGTCCACATTCACCCTTGTTCAACAATATGCAGGAAGCAAGATTATAAATGAAATCAATTTGCTGAAATTTTATGGTAATTTACTAAAATTGGTACAAACTTACTATTACAACCAGGTTCACATATTACTCAGTACCTTTCCTTACCAGAATCAGGCATTATCAAAATGCTACTGTTAATGATTGAGCAATCTTTAGATTTCAGGTTTAATTTCCATTTTGTTGCGATTCACAAGCATCTGTCCAAGTGTTCAACATTTAGACATGTCCTCGTTTGATGTTCTTGATTAGCTGCAAGTTGCTCACAGTGATAGGTACTGCCAAATACTAATCATATTAACAAAACGTATAAAATTATCTTTCAAGACACCTTAGCCTATTAGTGCAGCATGATCTATGCTTTTTCCAAACTTGTGTACCACAACTGCTCTATCCTACATTGTGTAACAACTGACGATATGCAACTATTCAAAATAAGCTTCACACGGAAAGCAAGCAAATAAATGCCAACACCACATGTCAATTATATTCAGGTTTCACTGCATACATTACATCACAAATATCACATAACAACAGAAGTGATGGAATGTTGAATAACAAGCATCAAATGAAAACAAAGACATAAAATGTACTGAATGTGAAGCAATGGGACACCACTATTAATACAGGTCACAGCAGCCATATCAGACAAATGTCACAGCTAAATGCTAAGCACTCTGTTTTGTATTTGGGAGGTTCCGGGTTCAATGCTATACAGCCTGAGCTACTGACATAATTTAATAAACCACAAATAATTAAATAATTATAAACACATCAGCAACCATATTTTTAGATAGAACTGCACTGTACTGATCCTCTCAAAACTACTTAGCAAACTGCCAACAAAGAAACAGAAAAATAAATAAATTGAATGCCAATAATCTGTATAAAAGTTCTGTATTGAAGCTTTGGTACTGTCATTTCCCCCTTTTTTAAACGTACATTAAAAATTCTGACACTTTTACAAAGTTTTCTTTGTAAGTAATTAAGTTAATCAAGGAACGTTGATTAAAATTATAAATTAATATAACAGCATGTGCTCTCTATCCCAAGAATTCCTCACCTCCTTGAAAATGGCTGCATCACGGAGTGCTACTAGCGCAAGCAAAACATAAAAGGACAGACCTGGAAGCAGGGGTAGTGGGTTTGCACATGCTGCAAGCAACACTCAACAACTCGGCTAACTTGTCCTTGTCCAATCCTGTAGAAGGAAACTGTGAAGTCAGCATTGCTGGTGGCACTAGTGGAGGTGTTGGTTCTTTCAGAATCATCTCTTCAGTCTTTGCTCCTGCCCTGCTGGTGCTGAAAGTCATCTTTGCAGATGGCCTACAAAATCCAAGAGCAAAGACAATGAATCTTTAAACCGCCAACCAAAAAATGTGCACGGTTACCAATACTTCAGAATGACTCAGATACAGGCTGGACAAGTGGGATTAATACTCAGTACAGGCAGGAATTCTTCTTTTAAAGCATGGTGCTCTGGTGCTCCACAAACTTTTTCACCTGTGGCATGCCCCTAACTGTCCATGATACAAGATTCTGCCTCATAAAAAGGGGGCATGAAAACTATAGATGGCCAAAAATATGTACCTACATATAAATCCTTGTCCTTTAAGAATGCAGACACATTAAACCAAATCAAAACACATGTTGAATAAAACTATTAATGATGAACCTGAGTGTGTGTGTGTTATGAATTTCTTACTACGAAACATAAGCGATTCCTTTTTCCAAACTATAACATTCAAATACATAATTTCTTATAAAAATGCACAGCACACCTGTAACCTTGTGGTACGCTGGTTGCAGAACACTGCTCTGAGTTTAAACGAAAATTCTTGACAAGTCAGATATTCAAGTTTCAACCACAAAGATCATTGAATAATCCTGTATAAACAAACAGACTGGATCCAACATAAAATAATAAAAAGAAAAAAAATATCTTTGTAAAGTGTCAAATCAAAAAACTTAAAGCAACAAACATGCCCTGCAGGTGCGTCCTCTTCGAAAATGGCTTCTAAACTTGTCTGAAATCAGTAGAGGCATGAATAGGTCATTCCAGAACACCAATGCAGATACCAACCAAAAAAAGAGTATAAAGTTAGTAAGTAGTTTCATAGATTAAACTTGCACGCAGACAGCTCTGTTCTCCCCTACACAGACTTTATGCAAAAATCATTCATAAAGTAGACACAATATATCATCAGTGAAGTTACTTACACTTTCTTAGGTGGCTTCTGCTGTGGCAAGAACACAGGGTTCTTGCCTGACCTCATAGTGAGCATCACATCTGTATTAGGAGAATTAAGACCACAGTGAGGACAAGCAGATGCTGAGTCAACTGTCAGCTGGCAGTCACGGTGATACCAGTGAGCTGATGCACACTGTACAAACTTCCCCTATAACATCAAGAAGCAACCATTCCTCTTGGCCAAACATAGTACCACTTCTCTGTTTACAAACAATTCATAAATTGACAGAAATATTCCATTAAGACCCACTTTTCAGTTTCACTGAATCACTGCTAAAATAAAAAAGAGGAAAACCAAACCTCAGCAAAAATTTCTACCAATAAAGTTATTAATGTCAACCTTTCCTCTTTTCATTTCTTGTTTATTTTCCTTTGTACTGTATATTGATTTAATTGGTTCTCTTTCTTCCAACTTAATTACTCATTATAATACAAGAGTTATTCAGAAATAATTGGGGCTCAACTGGAATGAAGGCTGCAAGGTGATGACAGCCACACGATCACACTTTAGCAGACTCAACATACACCCCATTGAGGTCAATCTACCACTGCTATCTTCCTGGTAACTTTCTCCTGACGGAAGCTGCAAACCAGTCTTTTGGGATAGCATACGTCAACTTGCGGATATCGCTCTTCAAGTCATCATTGTTAGGGAATCCACTGCTGTGCAGGGGCTCACACATCTTTATCCAAAAACCCAGCAGTAGTTGAAAGACAAATGGGCAGTGTTTGTGCTGCATGACAATGCCAGGTCCCATACCAGCAGTCAAAACACAAACAATTTGCAATTACTTTTTGACTTATTCTTTCTAAAAATGTAACACTGGTTTCTGTATCTTCTTTAGTTTACTCACAATACATTTCTGAAGGGGTATGAGATCAGAGGGTCATGTGGCACACATATGGAAAATGAGAAATGCATACAAAATTGTAGCTAAAAGACCTTACAAGAATCATGAAATAAAGAGTCATAGAAGGGGGGGGGGGATGCATATGTATCACCTACACAAGAATTATTTTGACCGGTGGATCTATCTTCAGGTTATAATACAAATCAAGATCATAGATCATTACCAGAGTTATAAAAGATCATCTTTATAATGCTGAAAAGTTCCTAAATACTAAGGGTAAAGATCATCATACCTGTCATTTGTGAATTTTTGGTATCAGTAAAAACAAGTCTGGAAAACACTGGCTCAGACAATCCATTCTAACAACATTCCACACATGAAATCTACCTATTCCATATTCACCCAAGAACATAAAAAATAAAATAAAATCATTTAAATACCTGAGTGCAAAAAACTCCACAGCCTGGACAACAGTTATGTCTAAATAACCTCTGCATATGAACATCACACAAAATCAGGTATGGTACTCTGTGACTTGGTCGTGAGAGCCTTGTGTCCTGGGCAGTGACAGCATTACAACAACCAACCAGCCGATCATCCAATGTATCAATAGCTTGGCAATACAATTCACCGGCAGCACCATTCTGACCACGAGTAGATACAAACAGCTGTGACTTAGTCTGACAACAACACAGTGCTGCAGTACCAGCCTGCAAGCAGTTAAGCAGAACATGTTGCAGTCTTTTGAAACAGAGGAGCAGAACTATATAAATCTATCAACTGCCCAATTGTATCCCATCTGACTACGGCCAGCTGATTCCATTGGAGGAAACGCATTACTGATATACTACAGACATTGCATGACAACATACCATGTATAGGCCTCATGTACAAAACATCGGGCAGTATTCAGAAGTTAAAATGTGTTTTTCAGTGTCATACATATCCTTTGTAAGAAATACAACATATAACATTAAGCCTCTCCTACAATAATGCCAAACTCAAATTCATGCAGTGCACACTGCTTTTAAAAACAAGGCTTTGGCAACTGAGTTACAACAGTATAACTACTGTATCTACAGCTGAGGAAGAGCTGCTATAAGATTCCATAAGACTGAGTCAAGTTGCTACAGTGTGTAATAAATGAGACAAAAATATAAGTTTTAGTTTATTTGTTCAATGAGCCAACAGATACATACAATAAGCAATTGAGCCTACCATTAACAAACCTTCTTCCTAAACTAAGAAACAAGGTACATTAAGCTTGAATCCACTACCTTCTGACACACTCAAAGATGACATGTCACACCACCTTGGATCCAACTCTTCATAAAATATACTGCATCTCTAAATAGTTTCTGTACACCAAGAGAAAATCATTCAGCCCAAAACTACCCACCCATTTCATGTCTCCTAGTTCTCTCAACTCTTTGTCTGTCACTAATACTGCTGATAGCTCTCACGTTAACCACGGGTCTTACACAACTGACTCTGCAACTAAATGTGGTACTGGGTTGTAGTACTGTGCAGTCTGGTGAAAGATCATCAATGTTTCAGAAGTTCTTGCTGCCTCCATCAATAGGTTCATCACTTTGATGATACAGGCAGCATGTACCTCTAAAACACAGGTAAACTTCCAGCAGACTACATAAAACTACAACCCAGAAGACAGCCAGCTTAATACTTGCTGCCGAGAGAACTCGAAATCTCACAAAATCTGTCTGTCTGATACATTTTAGGTCCCAAACCACTGAAACCACCACGTGCTGTAACTTACCCCACTTGAAATAGCAGTAGATTCAGGTTTTGCGGGTCCTTGACTGCTGTCTGCTGGGCTTGGAGAAGGAACATTGTTGAGACGGCTACGCTTGCTCCCATCCTCTGCAAATACAACTACATTCAAAGGCACACAAAATCAGAAAACAAGTTTTTAACATGACCACAGCTCTAGAAATACTACTTAAACCTATTAGCCTCCTCACATCATCACTGGCCCCTGTTAGTTCATCAATGGCAAGAAGGAGACAATATTTCTGAAAACCACAATGACAACCAGCAAAAATTAAAAAGTCTACATATGACAATTTTCTCTCTGATGAATGTATCACTGTGCAGCTCCACTAAAAATTCTCATTCTCTAAAACTGAAAGATTTTATACAAATTGGTGTCTGAAAAAAAGTAATAATGTTACAAACATTGACACTTTAAATTTGCTATCCACATGTAAGCAGATTTAATGCCAACCCACACTTCAGAATTCTTGCAATTATTTACATTTGTTTGCTATATCCCTTTGACTGAAACTGTTTTATTTCTATTATCATATTTTTCATTTTCTTTTCAAATGTATTCTTCTACATGTATCATCAGTACTTATCAACCCATATTTTGATATCAGTGAAGGACAATGCAATGTTCTGGAAACTTGAGATATTTTATTCTTCCTGCACGAGACGTCTCAGGTAATGACTCAGAATGATCATTATAGATACAAACTAAACTACTGACATGGATTAAGGGACATCATGATTCTTAAATCCAGCACTGGATAAAGATGAGTAGTCAGTTACCTTATCTCATTAGAAGAAACATCCTATATACCAGAGTTCTACAACCATTTTTTACCTACAGCACACCTTAATTTGTTAAAGACACAAATCAGCACACCACAAAATTTTGCCTAAGATATGGGTACAAAACTATACATGGCCAAAATAATCCTTGCCCTGTAAGTGTACAGGCATATGAAAACAAAACATAATTCATATTGAACAAAACTATCAACGATGAGCCTGTATGAATGTGAGCACTATGAATTCTAATTACAAAAGACAAAGTATTGCAGCAAACCACCTCCAGAACACTGCTATATACACTGGATGGGAGGCTGGTCAGACCCTTAACTATTCTCAATATGGTATAGAAGAAAAATTTGTCACTGACAGAAATTAAAACCAATCAACCAAACCACACCTCATTGTATCAACACTTCCAAATATAATCTGTAAATCCATTTTCTTAGCCTTATCTAACATTTGAAGTATAAAATAAAGTCACAATATTGTGGATTATAATGCACCATCATCAGAAACCTTCAGACTTCACCTCCACAGATGCTTCTAACCAAATGAGTTAAACAGCCCTTGGATTTAAAGAAAAATTTATTGCACATGACTCACCTTCCACGTCATCACCACCATCACCATCATCATCTGGTTGCAGTTTTCTCTTCTGCGATATAGTCTGACATGCTTCAGCCATTACAGGGCTGCCACTGCGACTGCCTGCTTGAATACGAACAGCAGATTTAAACTATGTAAGTCTTAGGTCCTCCCCTTATGAATGATAAACAAACTATATTAAATATTTAATATGATATATGAAAGAAACGATAATGCCAGAGGCTGATATTTCAAGGATAGTATCAGCAAACACAGCTTTGTAAATATTTTAATTTGCAAACATTTATAACACTAAAGTAGTATCAGAGATAACTTTAATATACATCAATGTATGTTTCAATTAATTTTTTCTAAATCAAATACTTTGGAAACATGAATGTGTCAAAACACCATGTCAGAGATACCCACAACCATCTATACCACTGGGGTGAGATCTGCCTGACAATTTGGAAACTGCTGCATCCCATACATACTTTTACATTTATAAACTATGGTCATACTCACCACAGAGATCAGCACTGGGAAACTCGGCAGCATGACTCTTGGCAATGGGGTCGGCACATGCTAACTGCTCTTGCTGAGACTGAACAACTGTCACAGGCTGCTTATCAGGCAACACCATCATCTCATTTGTTTCTTCAGGTTCCGAGGATTTCTTCTCTGTGCCAGCCACATTACTGTTACTATTGGATTCCTTAATCTGACGACGAGGTGGCTTTGCTCTCCTAACATTATTCCCAGTAAATGAGTACCTGAGACCTTTATATGGACGGTAACGACGCTTTCCAGTTTTTGTATATGTTTGAGCATTACTGCTCGGAACTTGACTCTGAGATTTCAATGTTGTTTTCACACCACTTTCAGCCCTACTTGTAGAGGAGTGAGATGACTTATTTCCTGCTACAGATGATTTGGTAACTGAATTTGCAGTCAGACTTGCAATATCTTCGGACTTACCAGATTTTGTAGAAATATGATCATTATGTAAATTCTGCTGAGAAAGTCTTGCAGACTTAGATGGAGGCAGTGATGCTTTTGCAGGTGACTTTGAAGTTCGTGTCAACCCTGCAGCCTGGTTCTTCTCAGTGGGACTAAGACGAGGAGAGCGATGTAATGACACCTTTAAATTCCGTGCAGCACTAATTTTATCTTCACCCTGGCCCAAGTTACTAAATGACTTCTCCTTGCGAGCAATAGCACTTTGTAATACTGATTCCCTTGGAGAGTCTTTTGAGCGTCGTCGTGCAGAACGCTTCACACCTGCTGATTCTTCGACAGTAGCCTTAGCAGCAGCAGCAGCAGCAGCAGCTGCCATCTGGCTTCTCAATGAACGTTTCCCTGATGTTAGACCAGAAGCAGTTGTTGAAGGTGCAGCAAATGTATCACTACCACCTGTGTCACCTCCCAATTCTGGATTTACTAAAGTCCATACTTCTTCACCATTTGATTCGCTACCCTGTGTACCTTTGGCTTTAATTTTCCTGTTCCCATCACTAGAATCTTCTGCCTTTAAGGTCATTACAATCCGAGGTTTAGGATCACCACTTGCCTTGCCAGATAAACCATCATTCTTAGAAGACACATTTGGGATCTCTGCACTATCAACTACTTCATACTGCTTCTCTTTTGTGTTTCCAACAGCAGACACAACTGCACTGCTTTGGTTATTACTATTCGGATCACTCTCTAGTTTAACTTCACTCTGCTTTTGTTTGCCAGCTTCTGATACCTGAGATTCATTCTTTACTGATAAGCATTCTTCATCAGTCATTCCTTTGCTTGTTCTACTAACTTTATCTTTTCTCACATTTTCAATGGTATTCACTTCTCGATTAAATTCGCTTTTCATTTCACCAAGAATGGTCTCAATCAAATCTATGCCTACTTTACCAACAGCTGTATGTTCCACCTCCAAGGCAACACATGGTGTAGATTTATCACTTTTGCTATCACTTCCATCATTACTGCTGTCAACTTGGCTCATTTTAAAAAACCGAAAATTGTACCAATACTTCCACAAAAGTGTTTCTGAACTGCTACAAATATTGATGATTGAAACCAATATGCTGAATGGTGTGTCCACGTTCTAGTTTGGCATACTCTCTACCTTGTTTTGTCTGACTATGCACACAACCAACTTTAACTAAAAAAGAATGTATTCACACTAGTGCTGCTACTTGCGTGAAAAATAATACTGTTATAATTAAAGCTCAATTAACCTGAAACACAATTGATATAAAACAATAAGTTACATCCTGTAAATCCATAAACCAAGAAAAATTATGATCTGACCTACTTACTTAAGGCAACAACAAATATTTCACTCATCTGCAACTAAAAACTATTTACTGAACATAAATAATATTAACATAACAGCAATTTGTGAAAATGTGTATGCAGGAAAGTATTCCACCTCAGTCTATGTTTTAAGAACCATCTTTGTCCTTACCCTCAGGGTACTTAAGTACTTCAGTAGCTAGTAGCCCGAGAAGAATTCATTATATTTTCAGAATCTATAGTATACATTGCTGGAATAATGTATATTATAGGAGATGGGAGTGAGCCAAGTAGCTCAGTTAGTGTAGTGACTATGGATTTGACAATTGGGGTTCGATCCCCAATGGGGGCACAGGATTTTCCTCTAGTCTCTGCATCCAGACCAGGTCTGGGGACCACCCACCCTCCTATACAATGGGTACCCGGGTCCTTTCCCAGGGGTAAAGCATGGCCACAGCACGACACTAACCACTCACCCTTATCTAGAACTGAGGCTAAGAATGAGTAGCAGCTATACCTCCACTCCCCTCAAGTGCCTATATGGTATATAGTGGGACAGGAGAGGGGAAACAGATATGGATGTGGAATGCCCTGATGAAAACTTTAACAATGAACACACGTTTAAAATTATTGGACTAAAATAATTCCAAGTTTAATTCCACAACTTGAACATAACCCCTCCAATACCTCCAAATCATAAATATATTGCAAAACTGGTTCATTGTTAGGTTAGGTTAGTCACTCAGATCTTAATCTGTGACAAATGTCATAAAATTAAAATATTTTGTGTGACTCCTAAAATCTGCAGTGAAATGAAACTGCTTATAATATGAATTACAACAAAACGTAAGCATGGGATCTTACATGTAAGGTTTTATGGTTATTCTGGAAAATTGCGCCATATAGTCTTGTAGAAGTTAGCTGTGTACCTCTAAAATGTTGGTCAATTTCTACAAGTCACATAGTAAAATATGCCAAAAGACTGTCTTCTTCTTCATATTCTTACATGTTCTAAATGTCAATTGCTATTACATTACAAATAATAGGCATGCAAACAAAGTAACAGGAAATGGTATGCCAATATTGTATATTACAGAAAAATCAATAAACACATGAATTAATTTCAATGTTTTACATTTATTTTCTATTTTATTATGTCTAATTAATGAAACAGATATATCACAAAACCAATAATGGGCATTATTTGCAAAACTTCTACTACATGTGTTTGTCACCTACTTCATAATTGAGACACATACAGTTCTAAACCTGATAAGACTTGGTCATTCTAAATTCAAATTTCATTTCCTACAGTGGCTCCAAACAAAAGCATGACAGTCTCTTACAACTTGTTATAATTGCTTCAATCCTCCTGCTTAAACAATCAAAATCAGTAAATAATAAAAGAAAAAATCTTATTACAAGACCAGGACTGTGCATCAAAATTTTGTTAACCTATCTTGGTACTCTATATATTTAATAGAATTTATTTACATTCCACTGACACTTCACAGGCACATGACATAGCACAAATACAACACTTGTTTCTAATACAAATATAAATTACATACTTATGACAGTAATTTATAGTTAACTACAGTATAGTAATATGAATATATTTAAATGAATACTTGCTCTAACTGCGTATCAAAACCGGTGTAATATAACCAAGAATTAGCAAAAAATAAGCAAAACCTTTCAAATTGTTCTCGTAGCATATGCCTTGAAAATCAAGCCAAAAATTCTGAAGCAATTGATATTAACAAAACTGCTTCTCGTAAATGTTTTAAAATCGTGATAAACGAATGGGTAACAGCGAGACCTCGACATTCTGTGAACCTCGAAACTGTACGAGATTTACGGCTCTCACGAAATAAAATGTAGATTTTAATATTCTGGGTTATAATGCAGTGGGGATTTGTATGACTACACCCTGATAACAGAGACAGTACGTTACTTCGAACCAATTATATCTACTTGCACATCCCCGCGGTGTTATAACCCAAATGACCAGCATCGGCATGGAAGTTATTTTCACAGGCGGTTACGCAGAATTCGAAGGTTATGTTTGTATATTACAATTTTCAGTAGTTCCTGTAAGTATAACCAATGATACTTACCTAAATGAGGACTGTCGCTTAATAGTTACATCTTTCCGCAAACCTCTTATCACCGCTGAAATCGTTATTTTATTCATTAAGTCACATAGTAAAATATGCCAAAAGACTGTCTTCTTCTTCATATTCTTACATGTTCTAAATGTCAATTGCTATTACATTACAAATAATAGGCATGCAAACAAAGTAACAGGAAATGGTATGCCAATATTGTATATTACAGAAAAATCAATAAACACATGAATTAATTTCAATGTTTTACATTTATTTTCTATTTTATTATGTCTAATTAATGAAACAGATATATCACAAAACCAATAATGGGCATTATTTGCAAAACTTCTACTACATGTGTTTGTCACCTACTTCATAATTGAGACACATACAGTTCTAAACCTGATAAGACTTGGTCATTCTAAATTCAAATTTCATTTCCTACAGTGGCTCCAAACAAAAGCATGACAGTCTCTTACAACTTGTTATAATTGCTTCAATCCTCCTGCTTAAACAATCAAAATCAGTAAATAATAAAAGAAAAAATCTTATTACAAGACCAGGACTGTGCATCAAAATTTTGTTAACCTATCTTGGTACTCTATATATTTAATAGAATTTATTTACATTCCACTGACACTTCACAGGCACATGACATAGCACAAATACAACACTTGTTTCTAATACAAATATAAATTACATACTTATGACAGTAATTTATAGTTAACTACAGTATAGTAATATGAATATATTTAAATGAATACTTGCTCTAACTGCGTATCAAAACCGGTGTAATATAACCAAGAATTAGCAAAAAATAAGCAAAACCTTTCAAATTGTTCTCGTAGCATATGCCTTGAAAATCAAGCCAAAAATTCTGAAGCAATTGATATTAACAAAACTGCTTCTCGTAAATGTTTTAAAATCGTGATAAACGAATGGGTAACAGCGAGACCTCGACATTCTGTGAACCTCGAAACTGTACGAGATTTACGGCTCTCACGAAATAAAATGTAGATTTTAATATTCTGGGTTATAATGCAGTGGGGATTTGTATGACTACACCCTGATAACAGAGACAGTACGTTACTTCGAACCAATTATATCTACTTGCACATCCCCGCGGTGTTATAACCCAAATGACCAGCATCGGCATGGAAGTTATTTTCACAGGCGGTTACGCAGAATTCGAAGGTTATGTTTGTATATTACAATTTTCAGTAGTTCCTGTAAGTATAACCAATGATACTTACCTAAATGAGGACTGTCGCTTAATAGTTACATCTTTCCGCAAACCTCTTATCACCGCTGAAATCGTTATTTTATTCATTATATTTAATCTTATTACATACTCCAACCGCCACAACGCACGCTCAAATAATCATAGCGTACAATGCAAAGATTACATACAAAATTCTGTGGATGTGGTAAGTTATCTATGACTGAAAACTAAATACCAAATGTAACCTCGAAACCTCTCTGTGCAAGTACTTATTCTTTCTTATTTCCGTTTCTGCAGTAGTCTTTGTGTGTTATTTCAAGTTCAATTTTAGGAAACCGTTTATTATCCATGCTGAACACAAGTCTGAAGCAACGCTGTTTATCAAGGTTAATATTTCGTGTCCCATTTGATGTTCGGCGATTTAAATTTTTGTGCTGAACAATGTATTATCTATACATATCTTACGCCAAAACCAAAAATTAATTCTTTGCAATACAAATGGATCTTGTTTCTTTGTGTAATTTCAGTTCAGAAAAATGTGGGTGTAAAGAAATATTATATTTAACATATTTTCACCTCAAAGTACCAAATTATTGACTCTGAATATTCATTATTGTCAAATGCACCTAACACCAATACACACTGAAAAATGTAACTAATTCCAAGGAATGCCAGACTTCCCCATCATTGTACTTTAATTTCAAAGTAATGCATTACAGGTTGCTAATTTCCCCTCTGAACTTCGGTGATACGTTCAGGGCACTCCCAGTTCCTTTCTAACAGCGGCTCACTAAAATCACTAATATGATTGTTTCGTGCTACATTAATTGATGTCATCAGCTTAAAGTGCTTTACAAACTTCAGAGTTACCTCCTTTTCTATGACCACTCTGACTTAAACACTTACAATGAAGTACTATGGTCTTGATAAAGCTTGCCATGTCCTGTTCAGATTTATATTTTTAGATATGTCTGATAGCAACTACATGTTTTTGTTTTAAGATTTAACTGTATGCCTATTCTTGTGGCTTGTAAAATTTTCAGTTAGGTATTATCATCTTTGAGTGTGAATTTAAACTTGAAGTAACCCTTGTTTTATAAATAAACAAAATATACTCTTTATATATTTTCCATTAATTCATTAATAAAAACAATGGACAAAGTTAACTCCAATCATGCAGTTACACCACTGACTATTTCCGAGTGCTGTTTACTGTCAAATACTATGCTCATTGCAGGTCAATCTGGACAAAAGGTCAAGACAGGTGTCCCTTTACTGTGCAGTGACCCCATTTTCATTGAAATCCCCAATCCAAGTTTTTTGTAATTATATATCAATGTAAGATTAACACATCCTGTACATATCTGGTGCTGTTTGTCTTTCAACATATTTCAAATGACACCTCTGATTTTGAACAAGGCAATTTGTGCATTTTTGTTCATAAATCTGCTTACTTTTTAATTACTCCAATCTCCACCCACCATTTGCTTTCTTGGTGGCCAGGCCTGAAAATGCAGTAAGAAATTCTTAATCTACATACTCACTCTGCAAAATAATAGTGAGAATGCAAGGACAAAACTATGACATGTTCGCTTGTCTAAAGATTATGATCCAGTCAGTAAAATGCACATATTCACTGTAGAAGATCATAATATAGTACACATAGAAGATGTTAATAGCATTCACAATAATAGGTAGATGCTGCATCATAATAACCAGGTATCTGAACCTTTCAATAGGTGCAGCACAATTCTATCAACTGTCTCATACATTCTGGACCAGTGAGATTTTACTAATGTTTCAGACTTCCAAAAACAAGAAATCATATGATAGTAAAGCATTGTCATAATAATGCCATTTTAATTTATATTAAATTTATGGTAAAATTGCCTTTCCTTAACACTATACTTTATGATATTTGCATCTTTTGGGAAGCACTTTATAAAGTACTAAATAAATACTGACTATATTTGTACAGCATGTATGTTCCTTCAAAAATGTTACCACCATAAACTATACTCTGTTTTCTTACTGCAGACCTAAAATACATTATTGACAGTTGATCACATTACAAATCCAAACACCTGTATTTCTGCTATGTATTACTGATTACAGATGATCATTAAGGACCTGGAAAATCTTATCTATTTTTATTTCTGGCTTTAATAATCTACTTCCATCCAGATTGTAACATAAAGCATTTACATTCAAATTTATTTTCTCAATTCTTTTGCTTTCCAACTTCAATAATCTATACACATTAAATGTACATAATTCAACAAAATATTGAAAGGCATAAATTCTACAGAAAGAAATAATACAAATTCCCATGCAATATCAACTTTGAATTTTCTCCAAAATATTGAACAAATCTTTGCAAAGGCATTACAAGAAATCATGATTTTACTTAAGATATAATGTTCTAATTTTTACAATGAACATAACTAATGGGACCTACAATATGCAGAAATTTGTTTTCCAGTTTCTACTTTGTAGCAGGCTTCTTCTTGGGCTTCAAAGTGAAGTATAAGATAAGCAATCCCACTGAAGCATATGTTGCTTTTGCCACCTAGACATGTAAAAAGAAATATATATCTTACACAAGAAAAACAGGAAAGAATGCAGAAATCATACATATATTCTGCAGAACATCTGCAATGTTAGGATGGTTTTGTGTAGATTTGCTGGAAAATTTTAAATAATATCTCTCACCATGCAAGATTATGTCAACCAATAATTTATTTGTGTCCTTTATACAGAAGTCTGTGTCCATCCAACACTGTAATTTATGGACCACAGCCTTTAGTACTAGTCTCTTGCTACCCAGACTTCATTTCTGTTTTAATTCTCTTATAGGATACCACCTCACTAAACAAGTCTTCCTCCACCAGAAAGTCAGTCTACTTCTTCACATCAAAAACACTTTATACAATCATGACCAGTTTCCCCCCCAATCCATGTTACATAAAAGATTTCCTACAGCAAGAAAGCTACTTCACTGAGAAGACTTCTTTTAAGCATACTTCTGGTCACCAAAATATGAAGTCAAATTGTATCTGCACAAAATGTTTGGAAAGAATAACTGTGATAACCTCATACATCTTAAAAGTGTATTATACTCACATTGGCTCGTCCAGTCGCCGTAACTGAATTAAAATACTTAGAAAGACCCTTCAATTGAGATTCATCTACATGTGCATCTCCTGCCATTATCTGAAATAAACCACTAAATTAAAATTTGGAATTTCACAATATTATGCCCACTCTCAACATAACTACTGATGTATTTATTTACATTGACAGTTTAAAAAAGGGGCTAGCAATCCTGGATAAAACCCTAATTCAGTAGCATATTATATGAGCACCAGTCAGGTTGCAACAATTACCTAGTAACTAAATAAACCTCGAACTTAAGAGAGATGAACTCATGGGCATCACATTGTAAATATGCCACAGACTTCTATCCCCATAATTATTATAACTGTTTCCTCTTCAATACTCCCTACACAAAAAATTGAATAGAATTAACGAACGCTCACTACGTTTCAAATATCTATTAAGTACTCAGCATCGACTTCTGGGCTTCACATTATATGAGAGTCAGACTAACCTCAAAAACTGTGATATACAGCAATAACGAAGACAATTCTGGTTCAATATGTAATAATCCAGCAAGTATACGAACACACGCAACATCCTTTGATAGACACAAAACTGTGCACGATAAAGAAATTACACTACTTGATTACAAAATTGGAAAATAGAAATCACAAATTATGGCAGTTATTAAAAATTATACATGCCTTTCTAAAACACGAATATACATTTTCCTTACAAATATTTCGTCTACAGTTCCGAATAACCTTCCGTACTATTGATTGCGCACGATAATAGTTCATAAATTGCAACTAATCTCAGCAGAGGTAATTTAACATGTCTTAAGTACTGTTAAACAAAACTAACCATGATTGTACCCACTTTTAAACCTCCTTCTCAATAAATCAAGTTATAAAATGAAATTACCGTTGAAGACGCCCGATGTTATCTCCTGATATAATGCAAGCAGAGCCAAGGACAGGAAGTGGAAAGATATACAACTGAACGTTTACCGACTGATCACAACAGCCTTCGGAATTAAATACGAACCTGCTCATTATATATGCAAATTTAATTTGTTCTCCGTAACTAAATACTTAATTCTGAATAGCAACACATGATATGATCACAAACTCTGAGAACATAATACCAAAGTATTTGAAGAATAAGCTTAGAAAATAAATTCAAGTTTTTCGTACGTCTACACACGTAAAAGTAAGACTTCCCAGATTTCAGTAAAACAGATTTATGAAATAACGTTGGCAAACTACTGACAATTGATACAATTCCCACTTACTATTCATAACTAAAACAAAAAATTCTACAAGATATTGTGAAATGTACATAAACTTATATTCATAGTCGTCTTCACTGAAAGTAAATCAATGAGTAAAAATATTTACATATTCTATAACACTGTAGGTGAATGTAAATTGCTGTCATCCATGCAATTTATATTTGTGTTTGAAACAAGAATAGTATTTATGCTGACATGCTCTACATCCATGACTTGGGCTTATGAACAATCTGTGGAATGTAAATAAATTCTATATTATTCTAGTCTATACCCTGACTTCTCTTCTGGGATATTTAAATACTCTGCTTTTCCTATCTTGTGATGTCAGCCATGCACTGTGAATCTTGAGGCCGTATATCATTTATAGTTTTCCTACATCCAGTTCATACTTGCTACTGCTTTTGCAGCGAAGAATTATGCCCATACCTCCTGCTTTTATCATCTTTAGTCCTGTATTCTGTTATATGGCTCAGTACATGGAAGCAGTAGGTTGATCCACAGGTACCCAAACAGTGAACTCTTTTGACATGGTGTAAGCTACATGCAAAAGGGTGTATCTCAAGATTTGCAGAACTTGTTTTAGGTATACTGTCTTAATACTTTCTAACTTAACAAATTTCCTCTCTGTGGTCCATAGAAACTCTAAACAAAAGGTCAATACTAGGACTATTCTAGTGCAAAACGTTTCACTGCCATGCTCAGAGATGAATCCTATGTGTCTCGCTTCATACATGCTTCTTATAGTAATTTCTTTGATGTGTATTAAGAAAGGTGTGTCAGAAGAGTGAACAATGATCCCCACATGGCTGGAAGACAATGCAGTTTTAATTCTTCCTCAATTTGAAAGCAATCTTTGTTTGTCATTTTTCCTTCCTTTCTGCATTCATTTAGTCCCGCGCCGTATCGACGCGGCCTGAGGCATCTTGCTTCAGACCGATAATACGGAATGCGCGCTGGTTCAAGTCTCAGGGAAAGAAATTTCTCATGAGATTTTTGACCGGTGCCAACCCAGCATCATGAGGAAATTGGGGAGCTACAATGGGTAGCGTAATCCGTTCATGAAAACTAGCAATGGCTGGGGGTTCGTCGTGCTGACCGCACATCACCCTATCTGGTTGGATGATCGTTCACCTATGCTTGGGCATGTGAATGTGAGGCCAGCAGCCAGCTAGTCGGCTTTGGCTCTCAGAGGGCTCTTACACCACGGATTATTATTATTATTATTATTCTGCATTCATTTGGAGGTCATCAGTTTTAATCTGAGGACACAGTTACCTATATTAATTGTGAGTATTAAGGCACCAGAATATAACTGTGGTACATTAACTGAGGCAAAGAACATAGTTTATCATGGCCACTTATATTTGTATTCATACATGTCAGGGGTTCTCTTTTTGAGAACTCTAACATTGGTACCTGATATCAATACTCACCTTTCGTTAGTACTTTAACATTATTTTACCTTCTTTGGGTGTTCTTTATGCTTCAGCATAAACAAATAACATGCCTGTCAGCTTGTTAAGTCTTCGATCAGAAGGGATCATCCTGCAACCTTTGAGTGGTCACGTAAATAATTTTTTCTACCTTATACAGTAATTTTAGAACAACTGAACAGACTTGCATGAAATTTAATATGAACATTATGGCATTAGAGGCTACTCCAAATTGGTACTTTTAATTTACTGAAATCAATTATACAAACATGATGGATGATGATGCACAAACGTTTTGGTGGGACAATGATTCTCCACTTTGACATTATACATTATATCATTCTGTATACATGTAACTTTTAGAACAGCTGAATGGGCTTTTATGGAATATGGTATGGACATTTTTCTATTAGAGGCTACTTCAAGCTCCTTATATTTTATTTCCTACAAACAGTAACACAAAAATAATGAATGCTGAAAATTGTAGGTGGGTCATGATCCTCTGTGATGATGTCATTACCCCTCATGCTCCCATTTGTCTGGCTATATGGACTATTCATGCTGCCACCTATCAGAAGGGGTAATATCAACAATGTGATGTCATACCCATAGCACACAACTAAAAGGACACCTTTGGAATTTTCGAGTACTCTGCAGTGTACACTTTTCCAAGCAGGATTTGAGTTTTTCATGATGGTGAGTCTGAAGATGGCTGCCTTCTGGGTTGTAGCACAGTGTAGAATGGTAGAAGGGTGACTCATCACCCTGATGAAGGAGGCAGCAAGAATATCTGAAAAGTGGTAGACTTCTACCAGACTACATGGTGCTACAACCCAGAAGACAGCCATCTTTACACTTGTCCAATCTGTTCTACCAAATGAGTGTAGTGTATATTGAACTATAAGAATTTATCTATGTACATAGGAGCATGTTCTCAACTTACTGAAGGCAAAGTATCACTACATTTTGAAACAAATAAACAGTAACCATTGAACATTTATGTTGTTGTAATTCAAAGAATTCACAAGCTACATAAAAGATAAAAAATAGAATTATACATCAGCTGGACAAGGATCAGTACCGCTGACAATTTGAATGTATTCTGGCCACAGTTTGGGATGATTTACGCAGACAGTACCACCACCCCTTTTCTCTTGACTTTTCTGAAAGAAGGAAAGACTAATATATTTATTTAGCTACAGTTCTTACTTACTAGACATCAGACACAAGTATAATAACATTATGAAAATGAGTTTTTAAAATTGAGGAAATTTTAAACCCAACTTAAATTAGGATGGCAACAGCTGAAGTCCGTTCTGAATACGGTTAAAAATGGAGATAATATTTCCCTAATAAGCTACCTTATTTTTTGAATCAATGAGGCATACTGTATGAAGGTACAAGGGCTGTTGCTAATTTTGTGGTAAGAAAGGCTAACTTAAGGCAGAGTACAAGACTGACTGAATAATAGTAACTGGTTTCTTAATTTGGAATCTGATTTCTATATTTTACATTGAATTTGAAATTCAGTGGTATTTAAATGAGAATTATGGAACTGGTCTCTTGAGTCTCAATTACACAATTATAATACCAAAAACACAATCAGCTTCAGTCTTTCTTGAACTGAGCCCTGGTCACACTGAGTCAAACTGCGAGCTGGAGCACCAATCATCATAATGTAATGCTGAAGGACATGAATTGGTTTGTTTACATTAAGAATGAAGTAATAATGAACAAACTATAGATAAATACTTACCATTCGGTTGATGTCTCCTATACAAACCCAGTATTTTGTTGTGTTATCATCTCCATACGCTGTCACCCACTTAGAGTGGTCTTCAGTTGACTTAAAATTAATATTTCCAGCATTCAGACTCACTGATGAAATATTTTCAACCCTGTAGCAATATATTACATCCAATTAAAAAAGACACTTATTTTAACACCCTCAAAGCCTAAATTCTCCTATGGAAAGTATTTTAATCCTAGTAATGCCACTCAACTTAACTTTTTGTCACATGTTATACTTTATATTATCAGGATACATTTATAGCAGCAGTTTATGTATGATATAATATATTACATTGTTCTAGTGGCAGTTGCCCCATTCTGCTTCACCCCAACTCCATGTCTGATACCTGATTTTAGTTTTATGACAAATCAGAACATGCAACTATTATATAATATATATTTGGACTCACATAAAAGTACTATTGCAGCTGGATGGCAATTTGCCCCTACCATTACGCCACGTCTCAACTAGAAGACTAGTCTGCAATGCTGGTGCTACCCAGTCAAAGTAAAGTTCTGCGAAAGATAGGGTTTTATGAATGTAGAACAAAGTTATAAAAATGCCTCTTGAAGAAAAGTAAGAACACATAATAGAGGAAGAGTTGAGATATTCTGATGAAAATTGACAAGTACTGTGACAAAAGTAGGCATCCATAGTCTAAGACTCTATAAAATTCAAATTTTAATATTTTCAGGTAATTTGAAAACTTTCATCTCTCTCAACACTATTGTCAGCTTGAAAGCAATGAGATTATTTTGTATGGAAGGTGAAGAAAAATCACGTTTTTAATTACTCTGCTATTCCAAAACACTGTGCCATCTGCCACAGTTATTTGTCATTGAACTTGTTATGTCAGAATATGGATGGAGATGGTCATGACCTATTTTAAGGTAATATATCTCATGGGAGTGAAAGAAACCATGAAAAACATTAATTCAGGATAGCTGGTCCCATCCAAGAATCAAACCAGGTATCTCCTAAATGCCTGCAACAGTACTTACTCTCACTCACTTTTATCATCTCATCCACTGATTCCATCTATATTTATATCTGCTCATCCAAAACCGTAATCTGAGTACAATGATTTCTTATTAAGGCATTGAGGGATGAGAACACCTAGCACTTGAAAGAATGTCTGTTTATTTGCCCCACCTTTGTCAAATTTTCCTGCTTTTGCAAAAGAGTAAAATGTCTGTCCTGCAAGTGAAATTATCTCCTGTTGATGGAACCAAGGGGCAACCTTAACTCGTTCATTTCTTGTAGCTGCTATGAGGTGAGGAAAATTGCTTTCCAGGCTCACAGGTATATTTGAGCCATAGATAAATGGTTCATTGTATGTTAGCTGAATACCTAAAACATGCAAGAACATCAGTTACAATAGGCTGCGAACAAATAAAAAGCAAACAATAATTATTCATTAATACCAAAGCCTGACATGTTGGGAGACAGTTTCATCCACCTTCTCAGTTTATTCCTCCAAGATCTGTCTTAATATTATCCTAACATATATATTTTGGATCTTCAAGATGAATACCTTCCAAGCAGTTTGTCCCATCAAAATTCTGTGTGAATTCCTCCTTAGGCTCATCTGAGTTACAGCCCACAGCAATGTAAGCATCTAGATTTCACTACCCTAACAATACTAGATGACCCATACAAATCACAAAGGTTCTCGGTATGTAATAACTTAAATTGTCCTCTTACTTCATTCTCTTACATTGAATTATTTTCCTGTGATTTTTCAAAAACTTGTAATTTATGTTTTTCCTTCAAAGTAAAAGATCACATTTAACATCACACAAAATTGCTACAATAAAATAAAAAAATTACAAACCTACAAGGTCCAACTGACTGGTATTCAGGCTGACGCAAAGGAAACTCTGTCCGTAATGACGCCCTGTGAGAGGATAGCTGTAACCATTACTGTGGAATTTAGTCGTTGAATTTGTCACATTGTCAGGTAGAGGGGGGAAGTGTGGAACACTGTGCACCAACCAGAAGCCTTTATCAGCCTCAGCCATGACAACACCTTTAGTGTGGCCTAGTTCGGACCTGTAAGTCTTATCTGGTGCTTGGTCATTATACAGCACCCACAACAAGGAATTTACCTGCAATGATAAGACAAGGTAGGATGGTGCATGGGTAATTTAATGGTACTGCATCAAATATTGAGTGGGAAACATCTCCAAATTCAACTTTCCTATACTTCATAGGATGCATATATTCCACCTCAACCCTGTTGGTGTATGAAATGTAAATTATTTATTGCACATCCTATCCCTTACATCCTGAGGCAGACATGAATAAAGTTATCAGCACTCATGCACTGTTCTGATGTGCCTACAAGGGAGAATTTATAAGGTATGATATGATAGTTACCCTGTCCCGTGCCACTGCGGCGCGGTCTGAGGCATCATGCTTCGTACCGGCGATACAGGATGCGCGCTGGTTCGAGTCTCGGGGAAAGAAATTTCTCATGAGATTTTCGACCGGTGCCAACCCAGCATCGTGAGGAAATTGGGGAGCTACAAAGGGTAGTGTAATCCGGTCATGAATACTAGCAATGGCTGGGGGTTCATCGTGCTGACCACACGTCACTCGTATATCTGGTTGGATGATCATTCACCTCTACTTAGGCATGTGAACGTGAGGCCAGCAGTCAAGCTAGTCGGCTTTGGCTCTCTGGAGCTGTTACGCCACGGATTTAATTTTTTTAATTTTAATGATAGTTACCCTAAACATATGTGAAGAGTTGTACAGGGGTTGAAGAATGCGGCCAGGTACTGACTTGGTATCGTTAATGGATAAATCAGATATTGCCCATCCTCTGGATATATTGCTGGATGTGATATATGCGTAGGCTACACCTTTTCGGATCAAGCTGTTACTGCTGGTCTTAATGCGAGGCAGTTTATAGATCACACACCTGAAAGTACAATGAAAGAACCAGTAGTGTATCCTGGTCTACAAATCAGATCATACAGAAATACAATATTATTACAAGCAATAAATACACTGAGTGCCCTTGGTTGGAAATGACCTTTGAAACGTCGGCAAACATCTACCAGACTACACGGCGCAACAACCCAGAAGACGGAAATTTTCATATTTTAAGTTATACTGTAAGTGCTCAGACAGCCCCTTTTCATCTCCTCCCACCTTTTACTGCGACGAACTGAAGTCGGGGCAAATTTTTGCGTTTTGCCCACGGGTGTAAGGAAACCAAACTCATAAACCAAACACACAGGAAATGAGACAGCGAACGAAGAGTAATGTCCCTGGGAAACAACGTTTTTAGTATGGGCAGTATGCTCCCTTATCTGCAGCTCCTCCCAGCCCCCTATTCCGGTTCCACGTTCCTTCTAACAGATATTGAGCGCACAGACTCGTCCCGACTATAGTAGATCAAGCTCGGAGATAATTTGCATCCACTGTGTATACTTACCAGTCTACAGGTTTATTACGTTCATCCCTGCACTGTAGGAGACACTGTGAAGTGCAGAGCAACGCCAAGAACACGAACAGCGTAGTCATCTCGCTCCGTATCCCTGCAACACTGACAGCATTGAGAGAAAGAAATCTTGTGGCATCTCCCGCCCAAGGCTATGTAACAGCTGACTCGCAGTTACAGCCTTATTAGTTCATCTGTGTTTGAACATATCAGAGCAGGGACAATGTTTCAACCTTCCAATGCTACGAAGCTTTGACTAGATGCGTACATTTTCTAGAGAGAGACATTACGGCTTCGCCTCGACCTTCACGCACAATTTAATCGATATGAAGCAAAATTAAAATCGCTCGACATAATTTAGTGTATAACAGTAAGCTAATAACAAATATGATAGAAAATCATTCACTAGTTTCAAAGATAAAACATGCGGGAGGACGAATGGATAGACACGGAATCCCCATTACGGTATGCATTAGTTTTTTCTTCGATGTATTTGACAGCTGTAAAGCAATTCTGGAAGCGTGACTGATGATCGTTTTAGCTCCATAGCCCACACACAGTTCGCCATCAGCTGCCACCATCTGACGCGTCAAACGTCACATGCATCAGTACGCAGCCTGTCGCATGGCACTCTTCATGTCACTGGTAGTTACTTCACTTCTACCGAGTATCAAATATTTGTTAGGTAACGTGTGGTGTCTCCATGGAGAAAAGTCCTTCATGTCAAGCTGGCAGTACGCTGGGCTAGTCAACAAATTCCCCGTCTTTTATGACATCAGAAGGTTCATTACCACGCTCACTACCGGTCCCAATCCTGAACCAGATTAACACAGCCCACGTTCTCTCACCCTATTCCACTAATAATAATTTTTATATCCTCCCATCTACACATGCGTCTTCTAAGTGGCCTTTTTCCTTCGGACTTTCCAACCATGCTCCGTCAATCCCATCCTCCTTAATTTCATACCCCCAACAATGTTTGGTATAATTTATGGTGCTTATTATAAATTCTCCACCCTCCTGCTACTTCACTCCTCTTAGGCCCAAATATTTTACTCAGAGCCCTGCTCTCAAACATCCTGAATCTCTGTTTTTCCCTTAGCCTGACAAGTTTCATGCTAGCAAGACTATAAACTGCAAAGTACCCTGTTATATAATGCCTTACACGCTCAACATAATATAACTTACGATCAAATAAACCACTGAAATTGTATCTTAAAACTGACCAAGAGTAAGTATTAAAATATTCTTAATTATTCACTATCCACGATCACAGTCCGTGCTATATGAAACTCTGCAATTGTAAAAGCGTTGTTAAGTAATCCACTGGCGCAGTAAAAGTTCGCGGTTTATGGAAAACTAGCTAGAAGCCGTAAGAGTTGAGCGTGCAACTGATGGGTTATGGATAGGTTGTAATAATACGAGATATACCTGGATCTGTCACTAGGTAACAGAAAGATAAATGTCTGGAGCAAGTCCGTTACATCCAATCAGGAGATTTTTATGCTACATCAGTTACATTTCTTAGTAGCAGAGCTCCCACAGTGTTGCTGTGGGGATATTCGACGAATGCTTAAATTTCTTATCGATATTTATTGCCCGAAAGCTTACCATAGGCCTTATCATTCGATATGTATCGCTGAATATCACAGAAAAAATTATCATCATTCCTAAACCCAAATATCTTTACCGAGACTCGAACCCAGAGCAGTTTTGGGGGTGTGTGACCCAGTTATTGTAATATCTCCACTAAAATAAAATTTCGATCTTTACGTCATTCTGTGGTGCTCGGTTTCCGAGTTACTAACACCATCGTCATGACTCAATCCCTTCTTCTATGATACTTAGCTTCCGAGCCACAAAAGCAATTTTCATTGCGAATCGAACCCAAGGCAGTTTCATTTCACGGGGTTGTGGCCCTTGTTCCTGCAACCCCTTCTTCAAAAGAAAAGAAAAGAAAAACTCTGGGCTTGGTGCCGTTCTTCTCTCAAACTGAGTTTCCGAGCTACAGAAAGCGACCTCACCGAGAATCAAACTCAGAATATGTTTATGGAGTTTTGACCATCCTATGCTCTCTTCCCGATTTCAAGGAATGTGCATACCAAATTTGGTGGAAATCGGATTTACTTGTTTTTTCGATTTTTAGGCGAACAAACACACACACACACACACACCCACTCACGCACAAATACATATATAAATAGTGCGAATGTCTTAAAAATTATTACTGCTTCTCTCTTCAAATATTACTTTGCGTCCTGTTACTTAAAATCACAAATACCTGGGATACAACCAGAAATTGAATTTAAACTGAATTTTAATTCAAACTATATAATTCGAAGAATAATTTATTTATAGTGATGTCTCGCCCACATGTACATTGACAGTAATGAAAACACAAACACAAACATAACAGTCCAGAGAATTAAATTATGTTGTTAATTTGATGCTGAGAACAAATTAGAATAGTTGAACGTTTGGTGATTTGACAAGTTTTGTGACAAGCTGTAAATCAAATTAAAATAACTGAATACAACATGAAGACCAAAAGTAGCAATTTTCAAACTGATAAAGAGACGAATACATATATAAATAGTGCGAATGTCTTAAAAATTATTACTGCTTCTCTCTTCAAATATTACTTTGCGTCCTGTTACTTAAAATCACAAATACCTGGGATACAACCAGAAATTGAATTTAAACTGAATTTTAATTCAAACTATATAATTCGAAGAATAATTTATTTATAGTGATGTCTCGCCCACATGTACATTGACAGTAATGAAAACACAAACACAAACATAACAGTCCAGAGAATTAAATTATGTTGTTAATTTGATGCTGAGAACAAATTAGAATAGTTGAACGTTTGGTGATTTGACAAGTTTTGTGACAAGCTGTAAATCAAATTAAAATAACTGAATACAACATGAAGACCAAAAGTAGCAATTTTCAAACTGATAAAGAGACGGGTAAATTGAAATGCTGGGGGCAGAACCAGGATAACGAGTCCACTTCAGTAGCCTGCATCGCTCCAGGAGATGTTATAGTCAGTGTACTTCTTCTTCAGCAGACTCACCGTCACTTCATGGTCAGCCTTGCCAAATCCCTGGAACACCGGACATTAAAATGAAAACATTGTGGTATACAGCAACTGATGTAAATGAAGAACGAACATTTACTTAGATTCAGAATATTTGTTTTCCAATGTGCTTTTTGCAACTTTGCATTCCTCGTTGACATTCATGTACACCTGCTATTACAAAGAGATGTCAGATATACTTTTGACCTATGAGTCACGGAAAGCAGCGGTAAATAGAAAAACGTTCCTCTTAAAAGCCATACCCGGGAAAATTATTTGTTTAAAAAATTATGTATGGGCATTTTAAAAAGAAAGTAGCTAGTAATAGAAAACATGTTACATACAATTTATCGCGTTTTTAGATCTTCATTTAAAACAAATAACGCTTACTTAACCACGCGTCGTTAAAACATATCTTCTCCCCAGTTTAATTTTAACGCGCAATGCTGGTGCAATTCAATACAAAACATATTTAATTAAGGCTCGTTAATAAATTTACTGTATTTAATTTGCTAAATCACATATGAAGCCATTTTATAGGTGGGGGAACTGTTTATTCATATCTCAAGGGAACCTTGAACTAAAAGAGTTTAGGAACTACTGAACTACATTACTATAAAAAGAGAAAACCGCTTTCTTGATCATCTGTAGAGTTCATTGCATTACTTTCCTTTAATAATAAAGTCGGCAGAGTGAAAAATATTTCATACTGTGTCAGATATGCTTATGACAATAAACTATCGCCTACTTGACAGACGACAGAAAATGTACAGTTCGCACATGCAAAAGCTTCAAACAAATTCAGGTCTGACATTAGTTTTCTCCTTATATACTTCCATGCTGTATACATTTCATGAGATCCATATCTGTTCACTTAACACGATTTTAGAATATAATTTTCAAACGACGTTTATGACTGGCTGCCGACAATATGGCAGAAATTCAGGTTGGGAAGCAACTGAACGAATACAAAGAAAAAACCTGTTAGGAGCGGCTTTGCCCTGTACAGATGCCACAGTAAATAACATAGCTAAAACGAGTCAACACTGTGACAGCTCCGTCCTTCAGCTACTCAGTACAGAACCAAAGTTCAGCTGTGACGTTTGCCAGGTATTCAATAATTAACAGGAATCGGCCTTCAGGAAAGGAGGAAGATGTAGTAACTGTAACCTTTTCCAAAGCACCATTGTAGAGTTTCATTATACGGAATGAATAAATGAAAACAATTATTAGGATAGTTAATATGGATATAAGAGCCAGAAAACTCCCGATCATGAATCCGAGGCGAATCAAAGACTCGGCTGTTGCATTCGCAATTAGCAAAATGTTGGACTTTAATTAACAATTATTCTTTTCCTAGCAGCATTATTTCTAATATAATAATCCTTAAATATTCGTTTGCATTTCTCAATATTTTATGTTTTTTTCTCATAAATTTGAAAGGACCAACAAGTTACAAACGACTATAACAAATAAGCTAATATTAAAGTAAAATTTTATTTTCATGTCATATAACCTAAAGGAAGTGTTAATTTAATGTTGAAAGAAATACAAAATAGGAATTATGAAAACAAATTCAATTTGTGCTCTTCGGTTCCAACGTTACAGAAACGACTTAAATCCTGAAAACGGGAGTAACCACCCGCAAGGCTACATGGTGTCACAATCCAACGACTACATGACAAAAGTACGAGTACAAATCACTGTATTCTTACGAGACGCTCTCAGATACCCTCACGAAATTGAATGCGTAACATTCAAAACAAATAAAGAAAGATGACCCCGAAAGTGCGCTGAGCTTATTTTGAGAACGACTGTAATTTGTTTACCGATACCATATACCGTGAGTTCAGATTACCTTTTCTGTAACTTTATATTGTATAGGAATCCCTAGTTTAATGATGCTAAAAGAAGAAAATGGAACGGTCGGGCAAACTACGCCCTGACAGAAAAATATCAAACTGAAAGAAATTCAATGTGGATTAAAGCCGTGCAGTTGAAACTCATTTCATATTATTTATCAGGAAAGAGAAAATTTCACCGTATTCAAATTTAAATTCCCAGCTACCCATCAACATCCACGGGGCTTGAAAGTTCTGTGAGTAAAGTCGAGTTGAAAACTCTGGGCCTTGGTCGTTCTCGCGCGCGTGCTACATATACCGCCCGTCTCATCCTTATTAATTTAATCCTTAGCCTGATAAAGTTTCACACAGTCAGGCAAATCTACATGTAGTCCTGTAATTAGCATGCGGGTTAAGCGTCGTTAAATAAACAGAGAAAGCTATGTGTACAAATAAGTTAATTTCGTCAAGTTGGTGTATGGAAGTACGAACAGCGTCAACGAAACAATTCTGAAGTGGAGAATAATGAATGTACGAACTAGCAAGTTTCATGCCACGCCAATTACGAAACTCCGCGCTACATGACCGTAATCGAATCGGAGCTGGAATGGCCTTCTCACACAGACACTAATTACGTTACAGGTCCAGAGATTCCAATCCAATCGCGGAATTAGTTTCTCTCTCCGTAAAACGGATTGAAAAGGAAAGCGGTCGTCGCGAGTCGCAGGAACTTTTGTCCGACTGGGGAGAGAAAACGCGGACAAGAGCTGTAATTTTTATTGACACCTGAGGAAATACAAAACTTGATTTCGCAAATCACTACACAGACCGATGAAAATCGCTTTCAGTTTCATGAAGTACTAAACACGTTACATAACGCCAACCTCGATTATGTTTAATGATTGCAACACGTCTCTACAAATGTAAAACTTAGCGACCTTTATCAAGTTAACTGGTCACAGATAAAAACAGCAAATAAAAGGATCGAGGGTATAATAATGTTTATTTTATTTAGTGTTCTGTCTGACGACAGGTCCATATGAACAGGATCCTTCCATCCTTTTCTCGGATTGGGACCAGTTCATATACGTTCTTGGCAGATGATCCAGAATTGGTTTGCCATTGCCTTCTTTTGTGTGTGAATGGAGTAATTGTTGGAAGCCCCCGGAGGAAAACTCCGTGTTGCCTAAACCACGGCCTTGCGCAACACAAGTTATAAATTCGGGCACCGCCGGGAATCGAACCCGAGACCCCAGGATTACAAGGCCAGCGTTCTAACCGCTAGACCACCGTGGGCATTATAATAATGCACTGCTTCATTATGGCTATCTCCCACCTCATACGGCGGTGACAGATGAGTACGGAACAGCAGTGAAATTATGATTGCCACGGAAAAAACCGAAAAACTTGTTGATTAACTTTCCCAGCATAAAATTTATGTCTCCTGCTGTGGATTACAATGGGCATTAATATCCTTTACTCCTTGGTAATGTGAAATAGGTATATTTAGGTCCCGCTGCTAAAATCCTGGAAGCATAATCCTGATGGATGAAATGTTCAAAATTATTATAACAGTGAAATCAGTGAACAAGGGAACTAAAGGGGATGTTTTCATCTTACGCAAGATCTATCCAAAACATTATTCAGCGTGACAAATCCAGAACGTTGCCGTCAACTTTTAGACCGTTTGAAATCGAAGTTCATCTAAATAATATTTATATATCCAGTCCGTACCTCAAAGCAAACCCAACATTTCCACTACAAAGCTCAATCGGTTAATGCAGTTTAATAAAATAATCGTACGAAGACTGTAAATACATTCCGAACAGAATGCAGAATTATTTACCGTTGCAGCAGCTGGTACAAATACTTGTTATTGGGCTTTAAAGCGTTAAAAACTACTTTATTTAAGCATTAACACGGGAAAACTAGCACTTCTCTGGTCTCTTCCTTCACTTGTTACGCTTTCCCCTTTTTTCCAATATTAATTTTCCTTTGCCCTTACTTTCCATCCATTTTATTCCTCCTTCCTCTCTCTTTGCTTAGTTATTTTCCCTCTTACTACATTTCCTTTCTTTTTTCATTATGTTTTTCCAGTGTATGGCTTCATTTACTGAATGTTTGTACACATCTAGCCTTCAAAGAAAATAAATAAATAAAAATTCTCCTGCCAAGTTACATAACACACAAAACGTTACTATCAAATGTGTACATATATGGAGAAAAAATAATCTGTATGAAACCACAGCTCAGCTTATTTTCATTAATATAGCTCTCTTTCGAACCTCACGAGAAATCCGTGAGGTTTATTCCCTGAAACATATACCCAAGTTATCATAATTTACTGCGTCACGGAATACAGAAAAAAAGTAGGCTATAGTCAATTTCGTACAACAGCAGGCGCGCGCGCGCGCGCACGCACGCACGCACACATACACACAGAGGACTGAACCAGACGTGCGGGTTGCTAGCAGCGGTTAGATCCACGTGGGGCTGAATTGAGTAAATGATCTTTCAATTCGAAATACTAAATTATATGGACTCATTAAGATTAAGCTATAATCAATCAAACGTAACGGTCGGTGTATCATGGAGAAACAGGCAATTATTTTTTCCTAACAATCATCCAAAAACAAAACACGGACACATAATTAAATATATTAATCAGCTGTTAAACTGTCTTCAGGTCAAATGAAGAGGGAGAACGGGCACCTACTCAGTTGGGTCCTCAGTTACTGACACACTATCGTCAGAACCCTTTAAAATCAAAACGCCATGGTCTACCGCCTGTCGAAATCACAACTTTCAAGAATACACTGATATGGTTGCTAAATTATACAGAAAAGTTCGCCAAACCCAGTTTACATTAACAAAACACAAATTTACTTTAGAACACGCTGTATCTTATTAAACATTCATTCGGTTCCATCCTTCCATTACACAACACACCAGTTCAGATTTCAATAAACATACGTAAGTACAAACCCAAACGTAAACAAACACCATAAATCAGCAATTTTCCTTGAATTCAATTTCATGGTGGCTTTAAGGGCAGACTCTTTTTGATTCTTGAAAGTTTACATTTGTCTCCTGCGTTCAAAGTGTTGTTTGTTGTGATGGTATTACTGAACGTCTCTCTACTGCATGGAAGCTGGTAATGCTAACAGAAGAACGATGTAGGCAAAG